AATAATAATAATAATTCTTTAACTGATCTTCCTCTCAAAACAAAACAAATGTTTTGGGGATCTTTTTCATGTTCATGGATGAAACCGACATGGGCATTTCAGAAAGTTAAATGTTAATTTTTATCCTTAACTTTATAGAGTTACATTTTTTTTATCCTTAAATTATTTTTTGTACTTTTTTGATTTCTCAACTCCAAAAACTATATAATTTTGACCTCTCCGTCAATTAACTATGATGTGGCTGTTAAATAATTCTATAGTCACATTTTCTTTTAATTTTTTTATGATGTGGCAATGAGATGTCCTATAATGAGATTACATGGATAAATAAAATATCACATTAGATAAATTTTTATATTTTTAATTAAAAAAAAAACCTCCCAGACTTATCTTCTTCCCCCTCTTTCTTTCTTTTTCTTCCTCCTCTTCCTACTGGGTTTGGTACCGAACCCAGCAAAGCTAGGATCCACCGAAACTTCTTCCCCCTCTTGCTTTCTCTTTCTTCCTCCTCTTACTGCGACCCACCAAACCTTCTTCCCCTATTTCTCTTCTTCTCCCTCTTGCTTTCTCTTTCTTCCTCCTCTTGCTGCTAGGTTCGTTTGAACCCAAAACACTAGGTTTGTTTGAACCCAGATCCAGGTTCTTCGAAACCCAGTGATCTGGGTTCGTTTGAACCTACTGATTTGGGTTCCGTGGAACCTAGCGACATGGGTTCAAGGAACTCGAATTTTTGGGTTTTCAAACCCATGTTTATAGATTTTTTTGTTTAGTAACTCTATCAATTTCTATGCATATATTGAACTCTTTTGTTTGATGGATTTTTGTTTCAAATATTGTGGTTGTGAGATAGCAATTTAGTATTATGAATGCTGCAAAATTTTGTTTATATGTTTTGGTTTTGCTATTTCTCTTGTGAGTATGTGATGATTAAGCTAGATTGAAGTAGCATAAATTTTTAAGGTTTTGATTTGGTTTTGTTGCAAGGTTAATCATTGGTGTCGAAAAAGAACTTTCCAAGGGAGAACTTTATTAAATCTTGATTTTGGTTTTGTTGTTAGATTTCATTTTGATTTTGTGCAATCAAAAAGATTATGTTGGTTGGTTATAAGTTTAATTATATAAATTAATGGGTGTTTTTTTTAATAGTACTGTATAAATCTTAATATCACCACATAAGCATTTTTTTCAAGTGGATTATCCATGTCATCATTTTTTCCAGTTGAATTATCCATATAATAAAAAAATATAAAAAAATGTCACGTAAATGGAGCTAACAGCCTAAATTGATGGAAGGACAAAAATTATGCAATTTTTAGAGTTGAGAGATTAAAAAAATGTAAAAAATAATTTAAGGACCAAAAAATGCAACTCTATAAAATTGAAGGACCAAAATTAACATTTAACCTTTCATAAATTAACTCCCTAAATTCCCTCATGCTTTCCTCGCTATTCAAAACCCAACAAATCTACCAATACACATCTCAAAAAACTCGAGATTCATCCTCAACCGTATATATAGAGGTGAGCATCCTTTTATCAATTAGTGGAAGAAAAGGCTTCATCCGTCTGGGTTCCTCTCTCCATGCCTCCATTCTCAAAAACCATGAATTCCTTTACCCTCAAAATCCCGATAATTTCACTGATGGCCTCCTCATATGAAACTCTCTCCTCTCTGTTTATGCAAAATGTGGGGATCAAACTGATGCACTTAAGTTATTTCATGAAATGCCTACTAGAGATGCCATTTCATGGAATACACTTGTAAGAGCAGGTCCGAGGTGCTCAACCTCGGACGGACGACAGTAATTCCTTTACAACCAGAGTAAAGAGTAAATCCAGAGCTTCTCGCTCGGACAGCTACACAGCTGTTACGATGGACATCCTTGCATCTAAATATATCCCAATCTCCCGGTCTCGAAATAACTGCTTGGAGATACACATCAAATCCCGAATATCTTGCTTGGCTCGATCTCCCGGTCCTGAAATAACTACCTGGAGATACATATCGGATCTCGGATATTTCGCTTGGCATCTTGTTTGGCATGCCGCGTGGATTCTTCATTGGAACATATAAATACCCTTTAAGGGCCACGCCAAAAGGTAATGGAAACCAACCCTAAGCTCCTTGTTCCTCCGCTCTATAGGTAGCCTCGATTATTGCTGACTTAAGCATCGGAGTGTCTACCCCGAGGATCCACCTCGGGGCTTTGCAGGTCAATCCAGGATGCAGATATGGACTGAAGGAGGACTTCTGGTTTGGTGCAGTTACATTTTGGCGCCGTCTGTGGGAATCTGAACTAAAGGCTCCCTTGTTGCTCTTATCATGGTTAAAACTAGGTCAGCACGAGGCGGAAACTCGTCTCAGCCTCTTGGACGAGGTCAGGTCCCCAGTAACCTCCCGCCTCATCCCCTACCCCCAATCCCGAATACAATCCCTCATGTTGACCATACAGAAGGAAGGGATGAAAATCAGCCACACAATTCGACTCGCAACTCAGCCTCCATCGCTAACCAAGACGTAGTTGCAACTCAACTTGCTGCGATGCAACAGCAGTTTGGTGTCTTTCAGCTAGTGCTGGCTCAGCTGTTAGCTCGGAACAACCCTGGTGATCCACTCATCAACCTGCTTAATCCTGCCCCATCACAACCCCCAGCCCCACCACAAAATCCTGAACCAGTTCAGCATGCTCCTGCTATTAGTGAATCTCAGGGCCAATCTCACTTCGCGCCAGTTCAACAACCCCTTCATGGTGATGTCACTCGACGTCTAAGTAGCTTGGAAAAGCTAGTGGTTGAACAGCGGGGTGCCCCACCTCCACACCCTGCTACTGACTCTGTACCCCACCCTCTCAACACCAATATTATATTGGCACCCTATCCCGTTGGCTTCAGAATACCACAGCTTGAAACTTATGATGGGACGAAGGACCTCGATGATCATCTACATGCTTTCTACTCTTGCATGCAGGCCCAGAACGCCTCTGATGCGTTGATGTGCAAAATCTTTCCCTCTACCCGCCGAGGTAATGCTCGAACCTGGTACTACAGTCTGCCTCTGAGGTCAATCAACTCTTACACAGAAATGGAATCTGCTTTCGCCACGAAGTTTTCTAGTCGAAGGTTGATTCGGAAAACCACTTCTGAGCTGATGCGAGTTAAGCAGAGGGACGGCGAATCTTTGAAGAATTTTATGAGCAGATTCAATGATGCAGTACTGGAGGTTAATTCTTTCGACCAAGCTGTGGGAATTACAGCTATAATCTCAGGTCTTAGCCATGAGAGATTTCGCGATAGTCTGCTCAAACATCCTGCCCACACCTTCAGCGAGGTAAATGACAGATCGTTGAAATTCATAACGGCTGAAGAATATGCCCTGTCGCAGAACCTAACTCCTCTTAAAAACCAACACCCGGACTGGAGAGATGAGAATCCGAGCAGGAAACGGATGAAGGCAACACAGAACCGAGGTCCGATGTCGACCTCCACCCTAAGATTCGAACGACCGAACTCAGCACCTCCGCAACAACCTGCAGGTAAACCCCCAGTTAATTGGACTCCTTTTAATTTGCCGAGGTCACAAATCTTTATGCAGATTAAGAATAAGATGGACTTAAGACGTCCGGGTCCAATGAGAACTGCTGCTGCTACCAGAGACCATACTAAGTATTGTGATTTTTATTAAGATCACGGTCTTACAACAGAGCAATGCAATAGTCTGAGGTCCGATCTGGAAAGTCTTGCGCAGAAAGGAATGTTGAATGAGTACATCCAGAGAGTGGCACAGCCAAGGTTTGTCAGAGAACAGGGGCCACAGCATCAAGAAGTCCACAATCCCCCAAACAGACAAGGTGTGGGATATCAGCAAGCCCCACCACCACTCCCACCACCAGCTAGAGTCATACACATGATTACGGGAGGTCTGGAAGCAGGTGGACTGAGCTCTAAGCAGCGAAAGTTGTACGTCAGAGAGGTTGAGCACCAGAATCGAACTCAAAAGTGGAAATTTGACGACGTTGAGTGGAAGAATCAACCCATCACTTTCACATCTGCTGATCTTGAAACAGTTGTCACACCTCACAATGATCCTCTAGTCACTTCTGTCACAATCAACAATTATGAGGTGCAACGTGTCCTTGTTGACACAGGGAGTGCACCAGACATCATATACTTCCATTGTTTTGAGAGTTTTGGGTTAGATCCAGCTCTGTTGCAGCGGTGTGATGGTCCCATCTACGGGTTCAATAACCAACCAGTTCCAGTTGAAGGAGTCCTCACCATGAATGTTGCATTTGGAAGTGGCCGAAGTTATGTGACCCCTTCCGTGAGGTTTTTAGTAGTCAAGATGGC